AGCATCAAAGAATTTAATCATCTTCTCACTGTATTTATTTTTACATTTACTATCCATGTCAAACAACATCAATTTTCTTGTTACCGATTCTAGTAAGGTTTTCTTTGTAGAAGATTTATTTAAATAGAAGTGGTTTGATTTTAAAATATATATATATATATTACATGGAACTAAATAAGTAAGCAAATCACAAAGACGGAACCCGACTGATAAAAATTGGTTGAGAGAGATTAAGGCATTCTTCATAAGCAAACTCAAAGAGAAGCAGCAGAACACTGAGCAGTGCAAGTAAGTAGTTTATTAGAATCACCTGGTAAACCCTTTCACTATAGAACCACAGAGGCACCCGAGTAGTCATCAGCTAGTTCTACCTACTCAGATCTGTAGTAAATGTATGTAAATAGGATTACACATTTTAGGCTATTTAGCAGCCAGTTTAGGACCAACACATTTATTACTAACTGATCAACTAAGATTCCCAACTTGATAAACTCAAAAGAAAGGTGCTTCTTGACCTCAGAAACTTCACTATCTTAGGCTTCCTTCATACTGAAAGTTTTAGAGACAACTAACATGACATTTCCAGCACATAATACAAACACTTAAAAATCAGTTAAAAAAAATAGGGGCCTCCTTTTGTGACATCCTTGCTAGACTCAACAAAGTTCTGAGTGCCAACTGCATCAGTCACTATGCCAGGCTCCGGGAATACAAAGCGGCAGATCCAATAGTGGAGGATCTGCTGTGAATGCAATGCATCCTGGCTAGCCTGTGGGTTACAATCAGCCTTGGCGGCAGTTTAGAATGCAGACTCCTGAGTCCTATCCTGGGAAATTCCCAGCCAGTTGGTAAATTAGGAAGGGCCTTAGGAAGCAGCCCACTTAAAAAGCTCCCCTTTGATTCAGATGCACAGCAGGTTTGGGATCCACTAATGCAGATTACATTTTTAAATCTGAAATTAGCAGTACGTAACATCTTGTTCTTAAAAATACTGAATAAGGAAAGATAAATATGAGACATGCTGGCCTATTTCAAAACACTAAAACAACATCAAGAAAGCACACTATTATTATGCAGTTTTCAAGAAAGAAGGCAATCTAAACTATGAAAGCAATCAGACAACGTGAAACTGAAAATGCCAAAATGACACTACTATCTCACGCCATCACTGCTCAAATGGAAATACTGGTTAATTGAGAGTTCCCCAAAAGGCAGATTGACTAGTAAAAGTCTCTTACTACTCTGGATAATAAGCTGCTCACCAATTCAGAATAATATTATCACCAATATTAACTGATTTACAAGCCTTGCCGCCATTGTAGCTTCCTTTCCTGTCCTGGCAGCAGTGGTTTTAAAAGAACTGACTTGCAGGGGCCCCCAACCCCTGGGCTGCGTACCACTACAAGTCCTTGGCCTGTTAGGAACTGGGCCAAGCAGGAGGTGAGCGGCAGGTGAGCAAGCAAAGCTTCATGTGTATTGGCTGCCCAGCGCTAGCATCACTGCCTTAGCTCCACCTCAGATCATCAGGCATTAGATTCTCATAGAAGCACCGGTGTCTGGTGCCAAAAAGGTTGGGGACTGCTGGACTATTGAATTTTGTAGCAACCGCTCATTTGTTCATAAAAGTAACAGACTGCCCACAAATTTTCACCAATTTCATCAAAAGATAAGAAGACTCCTTCCCTTGACAGGTATGGGTTCTTCCTAATATGGTAATAAACAGTTTGCTATGGCCAGTAGGAAAGATTTTGAAAACCCTTTTGTAGTGTAAATGCTGAAAAACAAACAAGAATAGGCCTTCTGAAATTACAACAAAAAAAGAACAGGTTTCATAAAGACCTTTTCCTGTGACAACCCATCCCCCAAGACAGAAGAGACACTGGCAGCAGCAGGAACTATTCTTGATCCTGCGGACCGTGCCCACGTTTCCTTCCCTCTAGCTGAATAGTGTGTCACTTCCAAACCACTCCAGGGCCATCGCATGGTGCCTCCCTCCACTTCATGCAGTTGCCCCAGCCTCGCACATCTATCCATCTCTAAAGCTCCTGTTTATTCCATCAGCCTTCTCCTTGGCTGCTGCCTCAAAGACAGAACTCCTTCCATATTTCCCAGATAAATACTGCACTTGACCATCACCTTCCTGCAGAGGATTTCTCTCTTACAACTTTAATATTTCCGTTGTCACTAGAGGAACCAAAGCACCCCAACCAGTGGCTTTATCAGTCACATCGCTTGATAAGCCACAGAAGGCATTTGAGTGCCCGACTCTCAAATTCACATGATCTAATTTACACTTTTGAAGTTACCACAATTACTCTGTCAGTCAAGTATTTTATTAGAAGACACTGTGTGTACTAGGTACTGGTAGAGAAAAAGGGTAGAATTAAGATTTTAAGACACTCCTCACTTGCCCGCTATACACTGACATCCTAAGAGAAAGACAGAGGAAGATAAAGAAAATCATCTCCATAAAATGTGCTGCAACAACTATGTTAAATGCTTCTAGAAGAGGGAACTTTCTGCCTAGGGAATTTCTGGAAGTTAACACCTTTAAGTGGGCCTTGACCCAAACTGCAGAGTTTTCACACTCCCCTCTTTCCTCTCTCATTCCCATTCCAACCCTGCTCATCAATCCTGGAAGATTACTAAGTCACATCACTCTGGTGCTAAAAAATCTGCAACAAGTTCCCACTGATACATCAAGGCCAAAGGAGTCTGATGGGCACTGAGGCTCTGAGCTAGTCCCAGCCTGCCTGTGCCCACAGCTCTTCCACACATGGGTACATCAGCTCTGGCCAATGGAGACTCACGCAGTACATTCCAGATTGCCTGGGATTTCCTGCCTCTACACTTGCTTATGTCATCCCAGTTGCCAACCAGGGGCCACCAAATACGGCTGTTCAGTGCACGAATTGTGTAGATGTATGTGGCAGCCGTCTATCTGCATTGAAATACTTCCCATTTTAGGGAATTATAAATGATTTTGAAAAGTATTTTCTGCATTTCCACAATGAACATGTATTATGTATATAAAAATTGAGAGGAAAAAATCACCCATGAGAAAAGAATCCGTTCTTCTCTTCAGAATAGCCTAACGTGAAGGCTATTTTCTCTAAGAAGCCTTCTTTGAGTTATTCAACAAGAAGCAATCTGTGCTCCTCCTTATTCTTAAGACTCTGGACTGTTTTATGACTTAAGACACATACCTTCCTATATGTACAGCTATACCTTTATTTCTCTCTCATACCTACTATCATGTGTCACACACTGAATGGGGAGCTTTACCCATCTTGTTTCACTTCATCCTCAGTGATAACCTGCAACTTGCTATTATCATCCTTACAAGGTAACAAAGGAAGCCCAGGTTGTAAAACTTGCTTGAGGCAAAGAACTAATCTATCCTTCTTGCTAGTTTAAATTTAAATCAAGTCTAGTCTGGCTTCAAAATCCTAACTCCAAAATACTTGGCAACTGACTGACTACCTTTGTCAATACTAGCCTTTGAGAGTCTTAAGCAAGGAGAAAATATCTTATTCATTTTTGTACTCACTTTTGGTGCCTATCTTGGAGCCCTGCCTACGAGCAGAAACTCAAAGAACCTTCTTATGATTACATGAAAGATTTATTCCTTGGGGAAAAATTGTGGGATGTTACGATGGTATTACTCTTAAAACAACTGCTGTCCCGACAACTAGCCCTGTAGGTTCTAGCTTTAAAATGTATCTTCAAGCTATTCTGCCTTCCCAGCTCTACTGCCCCACCTTAGTTTTAGTCAATTATCATCTCCTGCCTCTGAACTATTCTCCCTGCTTCTAGTCTTCTCCCACAATATCTTCTTGGCAAATCAACCAGTGAGGTGGGCCTGTGTTACTCTTTTATATAAACCTTCCAATACCCCCAAGTTTCTTCTTACTCTGGCCTAGAAGGCAACGCATGATCAGGGTCCCTGCCTAGAAGCCAGACTTCTCTAGTCTCTTTCACAATTACCCTCCAGTCACACTAACCTTCTCCAGGTTTGTGCACTGGCTCTTCCCTCTATATTGAATGCTCTTATTTCAGATCGTTGCATGGGTGGCTCCCTTCTCATCACTTAGGACTCAAGTCACCAGGGGCACCTCCTCAGAGGCTTTGCTGAAAGACTATCTACAGAAGGACACCACTGTTATTCTCTCTCTCAAGCTTGCATTTGTAGTAGTGAGAAAAACGAAGAAACAACCGGCAGTTATTTAAAAAATGTTTCTAGTTAGTTTTGCCTATCTTTCTAGCTAGACTTTAAACTCCATGGAGGTAGGAATCATACTATAAGGTAGGTATGCAAATACTTCTGAGTTGTTATTGAACCAAACTGAGTATAAAACTAAGTTTTATGATCAGAATTTTATTTTAACGTATTTTAGATGGCATTATGACAATGCAAAAAGAACCGTATTTGGATCCTTTCACAACTAAACACCCAGATAACAGACTTAGAGCCTGAAGCCCAGGGATGACTTGCAGGGAGGTGGAGGGGGTTCATGAAACCCCTGAAGTCACAATGCCTCACCCTAAGTACATATGCAATTTTGATGGGAAAGATGTCATAGCTTCAAAACATTCACAATTTAAAACATGAAATCAAGATAGATTTAGAACTACTAAACTTGGAAGTTTCAAAATCACATTTCTCTTAAGAAAAACCACATCTCCATACTGTATGTATATTTATAGCCACTAAATTCACAACCATAGGATAGAGAAGGAAACACATCTTTTACTATACTGATGTAATATTTCAAAATAGATTCTATAAAATACATTTTCCCTGTCTAATTTAAATAAAAATAAGAAAATGCAGATAATTTTCAATAAAATTCAGAAAATACCTAACATCTGATAGGCATTAACTCATTCAATGAATTAGAAAGCTTACTTCCTGACAGGGCTTCAGTTGCTGGCCTTCAGTTTAATCCTGTTTTACCTATTACTCTCTAATAATGATTTTTAAATGATTAAGCACTTACCATAATGTGATTGAAATGCCTGCGGTTTGACAACCTGATTACAGTCGTTACACACCACCAAGTAGAAATCATCGTGGGCTGGACAGAGACCAAATATTGGCATATCTGCAACAAAGAAAGAGAGCAACACTCACTCAATCTGGTTCTGATTAACACAGAGCCATTTGGGATGGCGATACTTTCTACAGGAGCTGCTTTACGATAAAGTACACCAGGACAAATATTACTCCAGTTTAAAAGTAACTTATATGACACATCATGACTATTAAGAGAAATCAAATCAGGCTTACAGAAACGCTGTTACAAAGGGTTAAAATAAAATACACCAAAAATCACCAGTATGAGGTAAAACTGACAAATATATTGAAATGTAAACAATGAATACATTCACACATAAAGCAACTTTAGATGAACTCTACCAAGGGTTATGAGGAAGAATCTGCAAATCCATAAAATGCTTAGCAATTCCCCAAACTGTACCATCTAATGGTTTTATTTGTTTAACTATGCATTCTATTTCAGCCATCTGGTCTCTGAGTTCTATGGAACATTTAAGAAAGGAAGCAAGGTTTCACTGCAGAGTAAAACTGCTTGTTTCAACAGCATGTAATACAAAGAATACTATTTTTATACTCTTTTTCAGGTCACAACAACCTCTAGTCCTTTTGCTTACATACTGATGCCACTGGACAGATGGAGCTTCAGCACAAACATAGCATTTCATACATTAACCTCAGTTCAGTTACTATAATAGGGCAAGATACAAGACGGATTTTTTTTTACAGTAAGAAGTTTAAACAAGACACAAATGTGAAACTAAATTATCTGCAAATACATAAAAACTGAAAGTAACTTGATACTAATAATAAATAATAAATAATAAATAATAAATATATGGTTAACTAAAAAGTCATAACCATGAACAATTAATTATTAACAACATTCTAAGGAACAGAGTTAATAGTTCAGATTCAGAATCTAAATATCTTAAGTATTTCAAAATTCATTATTTTAAGCAAATATTTTTCACTATATGTACTATTTAGAATATCTGCAATGAATGGATAATTAGCACATTTCAATTAGGCAAATACTTTAGTAGAATAAACACTACATTTAAAGAGAGAAAGAAGATCTAAAAAGCTGAGTAGAATCTGCTTTCTTTGGTGTAAAATTTAATTTCACACTTTCTCCAGCTTCGGTGATCTTGGTGGTTTTAAAGGAAAAAGAAAATGCTCTAAGGGGATGTAAAAGTGATGATAATCTCTACAATTGCTGATCTAATATCTACACATGGCTACAGCTCAGATTTCCTTAAACAGTTTCTATTACCCTGAATTGCACAGATGGCTAGCTATAAATTTGAAACATACCAGGTACCAACATGATTCTGGGATGCAGTAGCAGCGCTGAGCAGTTTATATGTTATTATCTCATTCTATCCTCACAACTGCCTAGGTAGATACCATTCTAACCCCACTCTAAAGAGAAGGAAACTGATTCACAAAGAGGTAAAGTACTTTGTCTAAATCAATAGCTGGGATTAGATTCTGATTCATTGCAATGGCTTGGTTTTGGTTCCTAAAGGAACACGATTTCTAGAAATTCCTTCCAGATTCCAATTCTAATAATTTGGAATGTCAGGGCTGAACACTTTTTGACTGCATAAACTGATTAGGTAACATAAGCAGCTTCTAGTAGACTACTGACTTCTGTGACTAAGCTTAATAATTTAATGAAAAATAATAGCCAAACAATGTGCTATTTTCCTTGAAAGCATGCCCACATTGAGTTAAAAATAGTACATGTGGGAGAAGGGGAAAGGTTATAGCTATGCAATGATCAACATGTAATAAGCCATCTTCCATGGCTATAGTTTTGTGACATATTATTTTTAAAAATAAAAATTCAAAGTAGTTTACCTAAAGTGCCATATACCCTTATGTTAAACATCTCCTATACAGGACAAATAAGGAAAATCTAAATGACAGAAATGGCATAATATTCATAATTTACAGCTGAAAAGTCTGAAATGTCTATAAATATCGAATCAATAGTTTTATTAATGACATCAGCTCAATTAGTTTTATTAATTAAATAGTAGTAAAAACAGAATTAAATCATGTGGTCTCAGTTTAGATATAGGCCTCTGTGATGTGCTGGTTTGTGTGGTTTCTCACAGCACTCAATGTCAAAGAATACTGTTTAAAATATATCACTTTGCCAAATACCAGATACCTCTGGGGACTAGCCACCCCCATCCCTTTATAAATAAGGTAATTTTAAAAAATAAAAAACTGTACCAATACTTTCAAGTAATAGGAATTCAATTGGCCACAATGATGATTATATAGAAAGTTGTTCTTTGTTGCTCTGATTCCTTTGATACTTTTGTTACACTCAGAAACAATGATAAAGCTAAGAGGGTAGGGATCATTCTATAAGGGACTAGGAATCTATACTTTCGTAAAAAGTTCAACTGCCTCAAAAACTTAAGATCATTTTGCAATGATGATAACCATAATGGTACAACAGTGGGATTTACTGAGAGATTACTATGTGCCAGGCCCTGTGCTGAGCACGTTTTATGTTTTACCCTATCATATAGATAATCCCTATTTTACTGCTGGACACGTAAACTTGTCTAATATCACCCAGCAATAAAGCACAACCAGGATTCAAACTCAGGTTTGCACTGTCTGTGAGCGTAGTTCCTAATTTCTGATTAGCACATCCCATCTCCCTAAAAAGCCTGCATGTGTGCACATATGCGCACACACAGAATCCATGTGGAAAAAAAATAGTATACTTATATCTTGTCCATGCTACCCTATGAAGTTGAGTTCCTGTTATGAAAATCTAAAGCAACTTTAATTTTAGCTTTCTAAATTCTTTTAGATATCCATATTTGGAAGTAACTTAGAGGATAGAAAATAATTTAAATAAAATGTCTTCTACAGGAAAAAAAAAATGAGTTCTATATCTTTTTTCTGCACTAGGACATTCCAGAGGCCTTAGCAACAGGAACAGAGTGTGGAATGTTGTGGCAACAGAGAAAATGAAACAATTTTTGTGAGGGACAGTGTGTATGTTTCTGAGTATTTTTAAAGCATAAATTTACAATCGGCCCATCTACAAATTAACATATGGAACTAGCCCAAATGCAAAGAAGGAAAAGTTTAAGTTTACAACAATAACGAAATAGAGTTGATAAAAGAGTTCCTACTGGGTTAAAAAAAAAAGTTTACAAAATACACTTTAAATATACAATTTAAACCATTATGTACTTGAAAATAATAAAAAGTTTTAAAACTGCATTTGACCCATGGACTCTGAACTAACTTGAAAGAACAGATTTTATTGTGTGTAAACCCTAAATCTTTCTCAAGATTTGATCGCCCTAATCTTCCAATTAGAGAGTGGCCCAGCACCCACTTCTAGGCTATCATGTACTTTTGAGACCCTTGGCCAGCACAGTAGGAAGGACTGGATTTAAGCACATGGACTTGTGAGCATATGTGTGTAGAACCTCCACAATCAAATGCAGAATGAATGCCCCCTCCCCGAAATCAGACCCTGAACAGGAGCAAATCTAATCACAGTTACTTTGGTGCTGCTATTCCAACAGCACCAATCAACAAGGACTGCACCGATCAACAAAACTTGAGTGTAGTAGTAAAGCATTTCACCTTTGCAGTATCCCGGGTTTTCTCCCTTCTCCCATGCTCCCAAACTTCTATATGTCAATGACTCCCACAATTCTATCTCCATTCCAGATGGCTTCCGAACTCTGTCCAGACTCATGTAACCAGCCTACTAAACATTGCTATCCTGACATCTTCTATGCATCTCAAATGAAACAAGCATGTCCAAGAGAACTTCACTTTCTACCATGCCCTGTCCCCACCCCCAAAACCCTCCCCACTTTGGGTAAATGACATTATTCATCTCCCCAACTGCTCAAGCTACAAACCCAGATGTCATCTATGATTCCTCTT